TTATTAGTCAACCTTAAAAACAAAGAACTTCTGCAGTATGAGACAACATGGATCAACCTTAATGATTTAAATAAAATAAGGCAATCACAGAAAAATAAATACTGCATGACTGCCCTTATAGTAGGTACTAAAATAGTCTAATATAAAGACTCAAGGAGTAGAATGGTGATTGGCAAGGGATGGTGGTAGGGAAAAATGGGCGTTATTAATCAATAGTCATAAAATTTTACCTAAGCAAAATGAGTAAGTTTTAGTGATCTACTGTACAATATTGTACATATAGTCAACAATCCTGTGTTGTATACTTGAAAATTTGCTAGCAGTGTAGATTTTATATTAGGTATTCTTAGAATGATAAAATAAAATTTTTTAAAAAGTTAAAATTTATTAAAGAATTTAAGTGGTGTACTATAAAATATTCAACACAAAAGAATGTTGCAAAGAGGGACAGAGTTGCTAAATAATAATGAGATATATATGAAAAAAACACAATGGCAGATAGAAATCCAAATATATTAATAACATATAAGGTGAATGACTTAAATAGCCCACAAAAATGACACAAACTGTCAGACTGAATTCTTAAAAATAATGATCTAATTAGATGCTGTTTACATGAGAAATGCCTGGGATTCATATTGTAAGTAGCTCAAAGTGAATGAATGCGGATCCACTCTACTGACAATAACTAGAGTCAAGCTGAAGTGACTGCTAATATCAACTTCTTGGGTCTCTCTGAATCTTCTGCCTATTTTTTCTGATTTTCATTTTCTTTGTTTTAAATGTATCCATTTACATTTCTATGGACTATTCCTCTTTGCTCATCACTGCACTACTTTCTGTAAAACTTATAAGGAGGGCCGGGCACGGTGGCTCATGCTTATAATCCTAGCACTTTGGGAGGCCAAGATGGGTGGATCACGAGGTCAAGAGATCGAGACCATCCTGGTCAACATGGTGAATCCCCGTCGCTGTTAAAAATACAAAAATTAGCTAGGCATGGTGGCACACGCCTGTAGGCCCAGCTGCTCGGGAGGCTGAGGCAGGAGAATTTCTTGAACCCAGGACACAGAGGTTGCGGTGAGCTGAGATTGCGCCATTGTACTCCAGCCTGGGTAAAAAGAGCGAAACTCTGTCTCAAACAAAACAAAAAACAAAACAAGACAAAACTGAACTAAGGAACACTTCCATAGTCCAGAATTCTAAATCAGTTATTACAGATAGTCACTGTCAGATACAATCACGGGGTACTCAATGATATTAATTACAAGTAAATGAATAGTTATATAACTAATTTGTGATGTCTCTCTCACCTGATAAAAAGGACCTAATTAAGAGCAGAGAGTGAGTTCATCTTTTCTATATTCCCAAATCCAGCATGGAGCTTGGTATATTTTAGCTGTGTGTAAAAATGAGTGAATAAACATGTATGAAAATGACCCCAAGGATCTACAGAAAATTTGACTCTAGTGGAGAAATGGCTTCATTCCCCCCCGACTCCTGTGGACCACAGAGTGAACAAGTGAGTGTTCTTCACAGGTGATGTTTCTTAAAGAGTCATCTATTGAATACTAGTGATAGGATTAATGGGGTACTGTAGAATATAGATGTCTAGGCCCTGTCCTAATTTTGGTAACTCAGGAAGGGTTTATAAATCTGCATTTTAAACAATGCCTCGTGATTCTTTTTCCTTCACATTTCCTGTACTGCATGTGTTCATATTACTATAGATGATCAAAGTAATATTTGAGAAGTCTTGACTGAGGAATAAACACCAGGCAGACAAAAAATAGACAGGGCAGGGAAGACATTCAGCATAGAACTAATGAGTTAAAAGGCAGAGCAGCGGAAACTAATTTGACATTTTTCGTAAACTGGAACACAGAGCTGAATCTACGGTGGACCACAAAATGAAGCAGGACATGAGATGAAGCTGAGGAATTAAGCATTCTCCAGGTCACAAACACTTGAAATGTTAAGTAGAAGTATTTAAATTTCAACCTATAGATTTTGTAGAAAAGCACAAAATATTTATTTTTCTTTTCTTGAAACGAAGTCTCACTCTGTCACCTAGGCTGGAGTGCAGTGGCGCAATCTTGGCTCACTGCAACCTCTGCCTCCCACGTTCAAGCAATTCTCTGCCTTAGCCTCCCAAATAGCTGAGATTAGAGGCACCTGCCACCATGCATGGCTAATTTTTTTATTTTTAGTGGCAACAGCGTTTCACCATCTAGCTAGGCTGGTTTTGAACTCCTGACCTCGTGATCCACCCAGGCTTCCCAAAGTGCTGAGGTTAAAGGCAAGAGCCACTGCTTCTGGCCCAAGCACAAAATATTTCGAGATGACAACCAAGTGAAAGAAAGTTGGGCTTTCAATGTTGACGATTCAAGCACATGACCAAGAAGAACTCAAATAACGAGTAATTCAACTGACACTTGTGATCTCCTTGCCAAAAGAATCTTTTGAACCCATTCAAATTCCTCATTTAGGAATCAGAATCAGAATCTCCTTGCCAAAAGAAACTTTTGAACCCATTCAAATTCCTCATTTAACAGTGGAGGAAATTCTCTCAAGAGTTGTGACTTTTTCAGGATTGAACCATGTTTACATTTTTGCAGAGCTGGGATTCAACCCAAGTCTCTTAGCTCCTGGTCCAGTGCTTTGAGCTCTGCGTAAGTTCCTATAATACTTTAATTTATATTACAACTGACAATAAAAACTGAACACTGACTAAGTGCTGTGCGTGAGATGCTGTCCATATGGTCCCATTTAATTTTGATTTATATATTTTTAAAAATACTTCCACTGTATGTAAAATTTTTTAAGATTTTATTTCTAATTTATCTTTGCAGGTTTATGCTTGCAAAAGAGAACATTCTCATTAGAATGTTCTAATTTTATTTATTGAAATAAAACCCTGCTGAGACTGGATATTTATGTTCATCTAAATATAACATATAATCTAATGTATGTGTATACATATTAGTAATAAATGTGTATGCAACTCTATCAATAATATGTCATGTGCAAATAAGTGTCTGAATTAATGTAGTGTGGCTAGAGCTAGAAAGAGAAACCTATTTTATTACATAATAAAATGCTTTTAATTGTTAGAGTAGAACAGTTTTATTACATACCATTACTTTTGTAAACACCAACCTTTTCATTGATCAAAAAATATTATCAGTCAAAGCAAGACTGAAAATAAACTGAAGAATAACACTCCTGACAGAATGAGAAAAATGAAATAAAATGACGCACATATGGTTTTAAATACAAAATGGAACACAATTAAGGAGCAGGTTTATAGCAGAGCTTATACACATTCGCCTTTTTGAAGTCAGTTGTTTATATCAAGAGCTTTGAAGTGTTCACTTGTGTTTGTATTCCAATTCAGAAATGAGGGCTTCAATAAAATTACAAAAACAAATTATAACAAAATAAACCTGGGCTGCTGCTGCTTTCTTTTAGTGCTGCAATTAAATATATTTTTAATGCTATGTAGAAGTCATGCTTAAGATTTAAAATCAGAGATAAATATTTATAGGAAGCTTTTGTTAACATATCAGTCTTCTTACAAAAGTTTACGTATATAAATATACATAAATTATGAAAGATAATATATGCAAGGAATGGTTTATTATAATTTGCATGCAACTTTACATTTAGAAACTTACAAACATTTTGTTACTTTAAATTTTATTATTGATTCTCTCGTTTGAGGGCCTATGTATATATATTCATTTGTTCATTCAAGAAATATTTCTTGAATATCTACCATGTGTCAGGCATCATGTTCATAAGACAGACTCAATCCTTGTTACTATTGAGTAAACAGGCTAATGAGGAGGCAGCCATTAAATGAGTAGCCAAATTGAAACTTTATGAAATTAAGTTTTTTCACTTATAAAATGAGGATAATAATATCTGCCCTAGTTGTCTCACAAGTCAAATGAGATGATTGTAAATATTGTCAACTTAAAAGTGTACCCTAGGCAGAATTCAATAAATAGATAGTAAAAATATTTCATTAAATATATCTTAATTTATCCCTCTTTTACTTACGAGTATATTTTCTACTAAAAATTTATCTTGAATCTAGGTGTGATCCAAATAAGAAAGCACTCCTTTGAATAGAGGCTTAAGCCCTCTGAGTGGTATGTTGGTGTTGCTGATAATTGCTACCAGCTGAATGATACCATTTAAAGATTTTCACACACACAAAAAATACCTCCATGATGGTTTAAATTTTTTGTTTGTGAATTTCATCATTAAAATATCACTTTTTCTGTGTCTGAATGATTTTATTACGAGTTTCTAATCAAGAAGATTTTCCCTATAAAGAAATAATAGTCTCAGTTAATGACTTTATCAGTTAATGACTTTGGATTATGTAGTAAAAACATAAGCAGAAATTCTTAGCTTGAGAAATGACTAGAAAGACCAGGAAATTACTTTGGGCAGTATGGCCATTTTCACGATATTAATTCTTCCTAACCATGAACATGGAATGTTTTTCAATCTGTTTGTGCCCTCTCTTATTTTGTTGAGCAGTGGCTTGTAGCTCTCCATGAAGATGTCCTTTACGTTCCTTGTTAGTTGTATTCCTACGTGTTTTATTCTCTTTGTAGCAATTGTGAATGGCAGTTCATTCTTGATTTGGCTTTCTTTAAGTCTGTTATTGGTGTATAGGAATGCTTGTGATTTTCGCACATTGATTTTGTATCCTAGACTTTGCCGAAGTTGCTTATCAGTTTCAGGAGATTTTGGACTGAGATGATGGGGTCTTCTAGATATACAATCATGCCATCTGCAAATAGAGACAATTTGATTTCCTCCTTTCGTATTTGAATACCCTTTATTTCTTTTTCCTGCCGGATTGCTCTGGCTAGAACTTCCGGGACTATATCGAATAGGAGTGGTGAGAGAGGGCATCCTTGTCTAGTGCCAGATTTCAAAGGGAATGCTTCCAGTTTTTGCCCATTTCCAGTGGGACGAACATGGCTGAAGGCAGTCGGGGTGGCCCAACGTGTAGCCTGGTGGGTGGCAGGCAGGACCCAGTTTCCGGCAGTGGCAGCTGCAACTTTCCAGAGTCTGAGCTTCCCGAGCTAAGTACGCGCTTTCCACATGGGCGCCTTTGGGGAGCTGTGGCGGGGCCCTCTGCGCGGTGCCGGGGACGTGTCGCTAAGGGAGCTGCCAGCGAGTCAGGGGAGCGCTGACTCCGACCGGGAGGATGCCGCGGTAGCCTGGGATCTGAACTGCAGCTTGGAGGCGGCAGCTGAGCTGAGGACGGTGTGCGGCCTGGTTAAACTGAAATGCCTTGAGAACGGTGAGGATCCAGAAGTCATTCCCGAGAATACTGACCTGGTGACTTTGGCGGTTAGAAAAAGGTTCTTGGAACATCGGGAAGAAACCATTACAATAGATCGAGTCTGCAGACAAGAAACATTTGTTTATGAGATGGAGTCTCATGCCATAGGAAAAAAGCCTGAAAATCCAGCAGACATGATAGAAGGGGAGCTTATCCTATCTGTGAATATCTTGTACCCTGTTACATTTCTTAAGCACAAGGAACACAAACCATACCAAACAATGCTGGTATTGGGCAGTCAAAAGCTCACAGAACTGAGGGATTCAATTTGCTGTGTCAGTGACCTCCAGATTGGTGGTGAATTCAGCAACACTCCTGACCAAGCCCCTGAGCACATCAGCAAAGACCTATACAAATCAGCCTTTTGTTATTTTGAAGAAACATTTTATAATGACAAAAGATACCCAGAATGCAGAGATTTGAGTAGAACTATCATTGAGTGGTCAGAGTCCCATGATAGAGGCTGTGGAAAGTTTCAGACTGCCAAAATGGAAGATTTTACCTTCAACGACTTATGTATTAAGTTGGATTTTCCTTACTTATACTGTCATCAGGGAGACTGTGAACATGTCATTGTCATTACTGACATAAGTCTTGTGCAACATGATGACTGCTTGGATAGGACGCTGTATCCCCTCCTTATCAAGAAGCACTGGCTATGGAACAGAAAATGTTTTGTTTGTAAAATGTATACAGCTAGATGGGTGATGAACAATGACAGTTTTGAACCAGAGGACTCATGTTTCTTTTGTGATTTTTTTTGTTTTTTGTTTTTTTAAATTTATTATATATATGTATATATATAAAATTGCATTTTAGGTTTGGGGGTACATGTGAAGAACATGCAAGATTGTTGCATAGGTACACATATGGCAGTGTGGTTTGCTGCCTTCCTTCCCCTCACCTGTATCTGTCATTTCTCCCCATGCTATCTCTTCCCACTTCCCCACCTCCCCGTCCCTCCCCCTTTCCGCCCAATGGACCCCAGTATGTAGTGCTCCCCTCCCTCTGTCCATGTGTTCTCATTGTTCAACACCCGCCTATGAGTGAGAACATGTGGTGTTTGATTTTCTGCTCTTGTGTCAGTTTGCTGAGAATGATAGTTTCCAGATTCATCCACGTCCCCACAAAGGACGCAAACTCATCGTTTTTGATGGCTGCGTAATATTCCATGGTGTATATGTACATTTTCCCTATCCAGTCTATCATCGTTGGGCATTTGGGTTGGTTCCAGGTCTTTGCTATTGTAAACAGTGCTGCAATGAACATTCATGTGCATGTGTCCTTATAGTAGAATGATTTATAATCCTTTGGATATATACCCAGTAATGGGATTGCTGGGTCAAATCGGATTTCTATTTTTAGGTCCTTGAGGAATCGCCACACTGTCTTCCACAATGGTTGAATTAATTTACACTCCACCAACAGTGTAAAAGTATTCCTATTTCTCCACATCCTCTCCAGCACCTGTTGTCTCCAGATTTTTTAATGATCGCCATTCTAACTGGCGTGAGATGGTATCTCAATGTGGTTTTGATTTGCATTTCTCTAATGACCTTTTGTGATGTTTGCTTCCGAATGCTCCACTATGATTCAGAAGGCAACAAACTGGGGGAATTCCTTGCTTATCCTTATGTTGATCCTGGAACCTTTAATTAAGAATAGCTACATACACAGAAGTACCCCCTCAAGAAGTAACTGTTCTGTTGGATAGTTACCTTATTTCTTAGAAACGCCACTGAGCAGCAGGATCCACTTTGAACAGTCTGTTAAAGCTACCAAAAACAATGTCCAAATCACAGATATTCTTATAATGATTATATTTAAATGTTAGTATATTAATTTCATATTTATTCCAAAGTGTATTTTTTAATTTAGTGCTTTTTACTCATTTTGAGTTATTTAAGTTGTATTACTTTATGTAGTTTGGCTATAAATCTTTTGTCAGTCACACATATTCTTTCACTCAATCCATGCCTTCCCTATTTATCTCTGTCCAGTGTTTTTTGCTAAAGATAGAATTAATGATACATCAAGTAGTAGAAGTGTTTTGAAAATTCTTTGAAGAATGTGAGAGCTACACCTTCTACCATGAGGCTTCCAAGGTTGGATTTAAATTTGACTATCTGGATGGCTAAGAACAGACATTTATCATATAAATGGAAAACTGATGAAAAAAAAAGGCTGTTGGTTTGTTATAAATAGCTTTTATTATTTTGAGATATGTTCCATTAGTACCTAATTTATTGAGGGTTTTTAGCATAAAGGGCTGTTGAATTTTGTCAAAGGCCTTCTCTGCATCAATTGAGATAATCATGTGGTTTTTGTCTTTGGTTCTGTTTATGTGGTGAATTACGTTTATAGACTTGCATATGTTGAGCCAGCCTTGCATCCCCAGGATGAATCCTACTCGATCATGGTGGATAAGCTTTTTGATGTGCTATTGCAACCGGCTTGCCAGAATTTTATTGAAGATTTTTGCATGTATGTGCATCATGGATATTGGCGTGAAGTTTTCTTTTCCTGTTGAGTCTCTGCTGGGTTTTGATATCAGGATGATGTTTGTCTCATAAAATGATTTGGGAAGGATTCCCTTTTTGGAATATTTGGAATAGTTTCAGAAGGAATGGTACCAGCTCCTCTTTGTATGTCTGGTAGAATTCAACTGTGAACCCATCTGGACCTGGGCTTTTTTTGGGTGGTAGGCTCTAATTAAGAGCTGCCTCAACTTCAGACCTTGTTATTGGTCTATTCAGGGTTTCAACTTCTTCCTGGTTTAGGCTTGGGAGGAGGCAAATGTCCAGGAATTTATCCATTTCTTCCAGGTTTACTAGTTTATGTGCATAGAGTTGTTTGTAATAATCTCTGATGATGGTTTGAATTTCTGTGGAATCTGTGGTGATATCCCCTTTGTCATTTTTTATTGCATAAATTTGGTTATTCTCTCTTTTCTTTTTTGTTAATCTGGCCAGTGGTCTGTCTATTTTGTTGATCTTTTCGAAAAACCAGCTCCTGGGTTTATTGATTTTTTTGAAGGGTTTTTGTGTCCCATCCAAAGGATTATAAATCATTCTACTATAAGGACACATGCACATTAATGTTCATTGCAGCACTGCTTACAATAGCAAAGACCTGGAACCAACCCAAATGCCCATTGATGATAGACTGGACAGGGAAAATGTGGCACATATACACCATGGAATATTATGCAGACATCAAAAACGATGAGTTTGTGTCCTTTGTAGGGACATGGACAAACCTGGAAACCATCATTCTCAGCAAACTGACTCAAGAACAGAAAATCAAACACTGCATGTTCTCACTCATAGGCGGATGTTGAACAGTGAGAACACATGGATACAGGGAGGGGAGCACTACACACTGGGGTCTGTTGGGGGGAAATTGGGGAGGGAGAGTGGGGAGTGGGGAGTTGTGGAGAGATAGCATGGGGAGAAATGCCAGATATAGGTGAAGGGGAGGAAGGCAGCAAATGCCATGTGTGTACCTGTGCAACAATCTTGCATATTCTTCACATATATCCCAAAACCTAAAATGCAATAAATAGAAAAAGAAAGACCAGGAAAGTTGAAGCCAGAGGGAGGAAGTTTTTGTTGAGGGTTGATATAAAGCTCAAAACTCTTCTGCCTAATACTTATTATATTGCCACATGTTGTTAACAATTGCAGGTGTAAAAAGTTTATTGACAATGGGATGTGGGCTTTGAATAGGAGAAGGTAGGGAACCTTGGAAGAGAAAGAGAAAGAATGTAAGCACTCCTTGCCTTTATATGCAGGTGAGAAAACTCTGGCATTGTTTTGAGTTAGAGTGAGAATATAAAGCATTTACCAAAACATTTTCTCTAATAGAAGGAGTTGTGTACTTACTCCAGAAGCTAAAAGAAGATTTGGGGAATGGAATTGTATCTTTCCTCCTGGGTGACACTAATGCACTGGAGAAAGTAAATGAAAGGCTGTGGGTGATTAATCAACTAACAACAAAGGCTCAAAGCAAGAGGCAACATGTGAGAGACTTTTACCTACTGAAGTCTAGAAAAAGTTAAGAATCAACCTAGAGAATTATAAGAGCTCCAAGAGGGTTGAATTTGTAGTCCCAACAAGTCTACTATTCCAGGGTCACAGTCTTGGATAAAAAGGTGTAGGGCTCTGGTGGTTGTTAGAATAAGGCTATGGGAGTTGATGTACTTGAAAACTACATCTTTCTGAATCTGCACCTGCGGGAGTGAGCCATTACTCTCCTCTAGAGGCTAGTGCCTTCCAGGCTTCTCCTTACTTGAAGCCAATGCTGATGCCTTTACTTTGCAAATCAGCAAATCACCTTTCTTAGTTTGTGCTTCATTTCTTCCTACCCACCAATAATACAACTAAGAAAGAGGATCCAATCACAGCATAACCAAGTAGGAGAATGTTCTAGGTCTACAAATGGAGGAAAAAGACAATACACTGAAGGAGCTGCAGAGCCTAATTTGTACCAGAAGGATTTGGGAATATGTATGGAATTGTATCCTGAGAGTAATGGGTTAAGGGGGGTCAAATAGTAAATTAGGATAAGAGAGAGTTATTTAAAAAAAATCACTGTTAAAAGTGCTTTTCCATGATACACTAAAACACTGTGAAAAACCCAGGGATGTTGGCTCTTAGAAGTTTGGAAAAAGTGATGACCCATAGAAGTAAAATGACCCTTATATCAGATGGTAGTAAAAAGGATCAAAAGGCAAAGAGAAGTGAGTGTGTTAAATAAATATAACCCACTAGTTTTCTATGTTCTTTGGGAGAGCCTAGAAGGACCCTGTTCACTAAAGCAAGTGCACTTCAGAGAGGGGCACCAGTATCACTGAGAAGTCAAGGGTGGCTGTGCACTGTAGGCCATTGCTGATGGTAGGAACGACCAGGGATCTTTGATAAGCATGGCAATGACAGAATTCTGAAACATCAGGGGCTGAATGGCAGGGTTTAACTGACAAGAGCAAAGTAGATACAATTACTGTAATGAATGCCAAGGCTATAATGGCACCTGGTGATGGCAGAATACTGACTAATAGAAAGATATGAAAATAGCGAATAGAACACAGCACCCAGGAGCTAGATAGATCAAAAGTCAAAACGGTTTTGTGCAAATTATGTAATAAAATATATCAAGGATGAATGATCGGAAGGCTAAGGGCAGATGCATCATCAAAAAGTCATAATTCCTATCTCAGTTTTTGAATCTGATCCAATTTTCAGATGTGAGAGTCCCTGACTCCAGGATATAGGACTCTGCAACACTGCAACTTATGCACATGGTAGGAATTCCCTGATTAGGAAAGGTCAGGACTGCTGATATACAATAGAGACAGAAAATAATATATCTGGCATCCATGTAATCCACTGAAACATCTTTTAGAAATCTCTTTTACAATTTTCATCATAAGTAATTATGAGTAGCACTCATAGTAAAAGGAGGAAATAGTGATCAGGGGCTAAGACCTTTCCAGGATGAAGAGTATGTGTATCAGGTAATCATCTTGACCTGTAGAGGAATATGATTAGAGTGTGAGGAGTCTAGGGTGAATAATAGATGGAGGAGATGTTGGGTTTCAGATAGAGCCTCAAGTCCAGTTGCAATAGTGGAGACTCCTAGGAAAAGGGACCAATCTTTTTTCCTGGAATAATTATTCTAAACATTTATTATATAAAATAGGTTTATCCAAGTGACACGGGGAGTAGACTACAGGGCCTACTGTGTTGTTTCACCAACAACTTTCCTTCAGGACAGAGACACTGATTTCTGTGTGCTGCAGGGAGTATGGTGTCTGCCAGCTCTTAGCAGATACCTTCTGCATGAATTGCTCTCAGCTGAATAGAGTAGATTTGACCAATTCCTTTCCAAGAGCAGCCTATATTCAATGAGTGTTTGGCATGGGAATATAAAGTCTTGGTCACTTTGGTTCAAGGCTGGACCACTTTGAAGGGCAATGCTAGCCCCAGAGTTCCTGATAGATCAGCTGAGAACTTTATTGTAACTGAACTGCAATCATAGTTCAACTCCTTGCTTTCTTGCTCACTACAGGTGTTGATCTCAGGATTCATTCCCAAAATCTTTCTACATGCTGCAGCAGCAACAGAAGCACTTGTTTTACTCACAAACATGTGGACAACAGCAGCATTGGTTTTACTCACAAACGTCTCTTCAGAAGTAAGTGCCAAACAAATGTATGTTGAATGAATACATAGGTAAAAATATGAATGAAAGTGAAGCCTCTGGTCTAGTATTTGGAGCATGGTAAAAGATCAGTGCATCATAATAGATGGATTATTGCTGTATACTATTATTATTAGGGTAAAGCACCTGATCTAAAAGTGATTTTTATCGATGAATTTTTTTTTATAAAAAATGAGACTATTTAATAAGTGAAATAGGACACATAGAGGCAAATACTACATGATTTGAATTCCCAAAAAGTTTATCAAATAAATGAATTAAAATATGAAATGTTGCCAGGCATGGCTCTTGCCTGTAGTCCAAGCTCTTTGGAAGGCTGAGACTGGAGGATACCTTCAGCCAGGGGTGTGAGACCAGCCTGGGCCACATAGTGAGACCTCCTCTCAACAAGAAAAAGAAAAAAATAAAAAATTAGCTGAATCCAGTGGTACATGCCTGT